TACAAAATCATTAAATGGATTTTGGCTTGGAATTAGGACAGAATTTCCAACAATTTCTTAAATGACCCTAAACATATTTCTGCCATTTTGTGCTACGTATTTATGCAAAGTGGCATTCTCAGCACTGATGATTATAAAATCAAAATGTCAGTCAACTCTGAAAAATGTTGAAGATTTTATCAGTAAATGTTTGATTTGTATACCTATTTTATATACCTACATACTCTGGGTCACGTAAAATTTTCTCTGGTAAAAAGGGGTCATGAGTGGAAAAAGTTTAAGATGCCCTGATTTAAAGGAATGTTACTGTTAGCCCCATACACCTTTCTGAATTGACACTACCTTCTTTACCCAAGTTTATCATCATTCTTCCACCCTTATTGCCCCGCCCCCATTTTCTAGGTTGAATAGTCCAACTCTCACCCTAACTCTTCACCCCTGGCAAAGTCACCAGCCTCACTTTCTCCTCTGGACACCTGGAAGATCTCTATAGAGTTGCAGACAAAAGATCCATCAGGCTTATCTTCCCATAGTAAGTCATACCGTCATGGGGGTATTTAAAATCTGGTCACTATAATGACGGATGTTGATTAGAAGCTGTGGGGAAGAGGCTTGAAGACTGCATTAACCTCTTTTCATTTCTGAGGCAAAAGCAGGTAAAAGTAGATTGTTTGGCTGATGAAGAGAGAAGAGAAAAGGACAAGAAAGGAGAGAGGAGAGGGCAGAGTATGGCTCTGTTGTTTCTGGATTGTTTTTCCTCCTATGTGTCTGTGTTCTTCTGCATTTTGTGTATTCCTGGAGACATCTTGTAAGCTTAGGCATACCATGAGCTGCCTAAGGTCTGGAATGAAGAGAACGCAACCTTTGGGCAGCAATCATACTGTATCATAAGGTTAGCAAAAACTTCCTCTTTAATAGCATCTTTTGAATTTTTTTCTTTGTATCCCCAGTGCCAAGCACAGAATGGGCACTGAGTAGATATTTAATAGATTAATTCAAAATTTTAATTAATAAAAATATTTAATAAATGCTTGTTGATTGTTTGAATCCTCATGTTCTCTGGGCTATACCTGGGTTAGAGGTTTTGGGACTCTGACATTCCCTTTGGCTTATACTTTACCTCCAAAGGTCTCAGTTTCCTCTTGTGTAAAATGAGGTGGTTTGCTAATATTATGCATAATGTCCCTTCTAATTTTAATATTCTAAGATTCTATGACTCTGAACAGATAAGAAGCTGTCTTGTTCATAAGTAAAACACTGGTCCCAGTGTCATGTTCTCTTTGCTAGGATGGAGAGATACTTAATTGGTAGGTGAAGGACAAGAGATGATGAAGTATAGGCCCCATGGGTCTGATCTGAGAGATCAGGTCAGAAGGCCAGGGTTCAGGAAGGCTGAGGTCCAGGGAAAAGTAGGGTTGGAACCCTTAAAAGCTACAAGTAGAGCAAGGAGACTGTATGTCAGTCACCTCATCAGTGGCCTAGATGGGACCGAAGGCTTTTTATAATTCTGTTTTTCCTTGCTTATTTAAAAGGCCTGCAGCTTTTGCTTTTGATAAAACGTTTCAAGGCTGCTGGATGGCTCAAGTCCTCAGGAGGGTATATCCTCAGTAGAGGCGTTTCAGGAGCCCTAATGGATGCTAAGGCCCTCCAGGAGTTTGGGGTCTTTCAGGCTCTTTTCAAAATCATGTTGTCTCTGCAGTTTCTGAAGTCCCTGATGAGAGTGTAAAAGCCTATACTACTGCGCACACTTAGACAAAATCAATTGATCTCTCTCTCCCCCATTGGGCGCACAGAGTCGCTTACTCACATCTGTTCTATAAACAGAAAAAACAAGCCATTAGTATGTATCTGAATGAAAAAATCACATTAGAAAAAAGATTTAAAGGTACAGAAGGCAGGGGATATATGAGTATAATTAGAACTAACTGCAATGCTGAAGAGGACTTGCTGCCTATAAGAGACAATCTGTCTTAGAACAAATAAGCAGTTTCATTTCTCAGTTTCAAAGGTGGTGTCTTTTTTCTTTCCTCTTCTGTAGAAAAGAAGACTAAGTGGGACCTGATCAATCTCTTCAAGCATCTGAAGGGCTATCATGAGAAGAGGGATTAAACTCATTCTATGTAGCCCCAAGGGAGAGCTCTGTCTAGGACCAACAAGAGGAAATAATACGGAAGCTTGTTGTTGTTTTTTGTCCTTCTTTCTCGAAGAGGACCATGACATCAGGAAGGTGATGCCATGACTTGCAAGTGAGTTGGATTTTAAGTGAGGAAGGGCTGTGCAAAGTCACCAGCCTCACTTTCTCCTCCAGAGCCATCTGGGTCCAGCGGCAAGATAAAGATCAGGACAACTGAAGATAGCCCCCAACAGGGAAGCAGATTTCTTTCTTTCTTTCTTTTTTCTTTTTGCATTTCTTTTTATTTTTTTAATTTTTAGGCAATCGGGGTTAAGTGACTTACCCAGGGTCACACAGCCAGTAAGTGTCAAGTGTTTGGTCTGAGGCCGGATTTGAACTCAGGTCCTCCTGACTTCAGGGCCAGTGCTCTATCCACTGTGCCACCTAGCTGCCCGTAGGGAAGCAGATTTCAATTCAATATAGGGAAGAACTTATGGTTACAGTGGGTCTTCTTTTCACATAAGTGTTAGACTCACCGAACCAATGACGTCCCTTCCAACTCTGAAATTTAGTGAGCCACAAGAGCTGGCCAACAGTGGAAGCAGCTGCTTTGGTGGGAGATGGAACGCCCTGGGGGAGGAGGGCATTCCCTATCATTATAAGTAAGTAGAGGCAGGATGAATTATTGTTGGAAATACTAAGAAGGAGATTCATGTGTTACGAGGTTGGAATAGATAACCTCTTAGGATTCTTTTAACCCAGATTCTACTATTTCTGTATTACTGAATGGCAGAATAGTTCCAGGATCACACAATTTCTGAACATCCAGGCTCTTATATGGTAAAAATGAATTTAGGAACAAGATTTTGGGACTCTTTCTTTTCTGCCCCTCCTCTTACTGGGCAGTAGGAGCAGGGACTAGTCCTAGTTGCTAAGCAATGGTTCACTGGGGTTTGGGATGTAAGGGAGCTAAACTGGTATAAATACTGAGAGACACTTCTCAGTCCCAGACTAGCTCTCCATCAACTATTTTCCCCCCTTACTGAGAGCTACAGGGACATTAGTTTTCCATTCCATTTTCCCTACTGTTTTTCATCAGTAATTCTCTCCTCCCCTGATCCATCAAGAAAACAATATCATTTCACAATATCTCGCCCATCACACTGTTCCTGAAGAAAATAATTGGCTTAGAAAACTAAGTAGAAACAGTTGTGGAATTCTGTAGCAATTGTTCAGATTAATAAACATAGGGTAAAAACCAAAACAAAACAACCTGAGACTTGGTAGGATGGGATCTGTGACTGGAAAATAACTGAATGGGTATGTCTTATTCAAAAGGGACAGAATATACAACAGGGACAGTGGAGCAGCATTGTTTTTAGATTAAGAAAATATACTCATGTGAAGAACTCTGAGAACCAGAGGGAAACAGCATTTTGGAGAAAATTTTGGGAAAGATCAATGCAAGGAGAAACAAAAGTCATATGATGATGGGAAAACACTATATACTACCTATGCAGAAGGAAGACACAGATGAGGGTCTCCTCTTGGGCACCCTTTTACTTAGAATTTGTAGGGAAATAAAGCAAAAATAATACAACAACATTTATTAAGCTCCTACAAGTATGCTGGGAATACAAAGATGGAAAATGACATAGCCCCTGCCCTCAAAAACCTTACAGTTTACTACAGGTGAAACAACACGTATACAAATGAGCATTAGGTAGACAGAGACAAAGAAGAGATCCAAGAAAACACGAGAAGGGACAGGTCATTTTTGGCTGTAGAATCAAGAAAAGGTTCATGGAGGTGGTAGCAGCAGAGTTGGGCCTTGAAGGAAAGGAAAGATTGGGAGGGAATGTGTTCCAGGCATGATTGATTCAGACAGGAGAGGGGAGGATGAGATCATGAGCTATCTAACAATTCAGTCTGATTAAAAGCCAGAACTGGACTAATGGACTGAGAGAATAGTGAGGGATTGATTGAGACGCTGGACGTCACAATGAGAGTAGAGAGCAGGTTTAGGAGTGCAGCTATGGGAGGTCAGGAGGATGACCAGAGAAGGAAATTTCAGAGTACTGGGTCTTGAAGGTGGAACAACTTCAGATGAGGTTGAGGTCTAAGGTGGTACCACCCTTTGTGTCACTGAAGCAGACTGAAGACGGAAGTCTCAGGGGTTGAGAACATTAATGAATTTGAAGGCCTAGGTATTAAAAGGATCATGAATAGATGTTAATTTTGTGTGTGTGTGTGTCTGTGTGTCTGTGACTACAGAAAAGGATTAAACCAAGTTTGTTACATTTCAGAGGAAAATCCAGATTTCTAGGAATTGATGCAGGAGCTCTGGCATGAAAACCAAAACAGGGTCTCTCTGGGTGGGATAAGATAAAGCAATAATTCACCTGTTTGTGAGACTAGGTTTTGAGGCTCCCCTTAGATTGTGAGCTCCTTGAGGGTAGGGACTATCTTTTGCCT